GTTCGCGCGTCCGCGTAGCGCAGCAACAAGCGGATCCCGCGGAGGTTATGACGTTAAGCCGCGATCGGCCACGGCCGTCCGACGGTCTCGCGGACTCGTGACATGCGATGCACGCTCCCGACGAGGATGGAGAAGCCGAATCCGAAGGAGACCATCAACCTCCTCGATCTGCTGTCGGAGAGCGACTCCGACAGCACCGATCTGATCCTCGCGCCCCAGAAGAAGAAGAAAGTCAAGCGGTAACAATTACTTATATGTTTACAAGTCGAATTGTTGCAAGGACACGACAGTGTCCATTTCTGCCAGTACGTTTCTAGTTTTAAGAATTAAAAGAGGATAACAAAATTAAACCGAGATTAAAGTTGCTCTACTCCAAGTAACACGATTGTCATGAGGAGGTCAAGATGACTGAATCTTGACGAAATATTTCATCAAATCTTAGTCAAGATGATACCATCTTGATCTTCTTGTGACAATCGTGTGTTACTTGGGGTACTCTACATTGATAGAAATGGACTAAATTATTCCTGTAATCGCTTATATATAATTATAATATTATTCAGGATATCGCTACAATGACATCTTAACTACAGCGGTACCTTTTAATTGCAGGCGCCAAAAATCACGGATCTTGTCCAAGAATCGACACAGCGATTCCTGCGGATGCAACAGGTCAGACATGCGGATCATATCCTTGTGGCTGGCTGCGGTGTTGATCATGTTCTGGCTGATCGCTTTGTCCTGGCTGGCTGCTATACTGTACGGCGAGATTAAGAAAATGGATATGTCCATAAAGTCAGGTAAATGGCCACTTTTATTCCCTTAAAACATATAAGCTTTTTATCTTTCGGTAAGTAACGATTAGATGTCAAAATTAAAGTAGGAAAGGTTCTAATTAAGTCTACGTGTATCTAATATATGTCATATATGTATATGTGATATATGTTTTATCTTGTTTATAATCTTCCGATAGAGGAGATACTCTCTTATGTCGAGACATCTCTTCTGTTGGGGAAGCTTTAAACAGTTTCTACATATCGTTTGCACATTAATTAGATCACATTTCTCGTTCTAGATAAAATAAAATTTATACACCTGAAAGGTCAATATCAATATAAATATCATAATTGTGTGCGTTTTAAAAGTTGTAATAAATGTTCTAATCGACTTTATCACTTAAATTAAACATAACTCGCTATTTATTAAAATCATCTCGTGTAATAATCATATATTTATGTGTTATATATTTCTGTACATTCCAAATATCTATATATAATATAAATCTGATTAAAGAAGATATTTTATTTATTACGTATATTAATTTAATATTAACATACCTGTAATTATTATTTATTTTCACGTTTCAACTGGTTTGCATAATTTCCTCCTGTAAATATTTCTCTAATATAAAATTCAATTACCAATTATGTATTATACTCGTCATCATTTTGTATCTTTTCATTATAGAAATTCATTTAATCTCTTTTAATTCGTTTTTAACTCGTTTTTTTTTCAACTAACCCGAGTGGAATGATCCCAGAGCGTGTATGTAAATACGGCCGTGATAAGAATAATCAAATTCGCGCTCGGCGTCGCTCGGTGTCGCCGTTTCGAAATTCCCTATATGTGCAGTACGGTTTCTTATCAGGGAAACCCCTCCAGCGCGGGGCTTCAGTCGCCCACCAACCCTCGGCGAGTCGATATCGGACGACGGCGCAGCCGTCTGGCGAGAGAGTGCCGCGTCGCGACGCCGCGCGCCGTTCCGCGATACCGCGGTGTTTTCGTCAATGGCTTATTCGTGAGTGCGCCGTCCGGAGCACCTTCGTCGTGTTCCTCGCGGAACGTTCCTCGAGGATCCTCGCTTCGAGAAAAGAGCGAGAAGAAACGCCGCAGCCACCGCCGTCGCCGTCGCCGCTCGTACCGTCCGCCCGTTTCCGTCCGCCGCGCGGTAATCGATTAGAATCGCTTCTATAATTCATCCTCCTCGTAGGTCAAGTTCTGCATGTTCTGTACGAGAGCCACCCACTCTTCCTGTTTCTCTTTCTCCCCCCCCTCTCTCTCTCTCTCTCTCCTCCGCCTCTTCCACTTACTCGAATCCTGAAACCGTCCTCGTTCGATTATTAAACGTGGACCGAATGCGGTAGAATGTAAATGCCAGAAGGATATAAATCAGATATAGAATAATCGAATATATTTAATATGTAAGAAATAAAATTAATGCGAGATATTAATTCAGAGGATTAAAAAGAAATAAAAGGGTATTATAATTTTCTGCGGATTAATGCATCTCTTATTAAATATGAGATTATTAGATATGAGGATTAATATCTCACATTAGTAATGAAAAAAATGTCTATATAGTAAATAAAAAAAAAAATTAGAAACATTCATGTAAAATAAAAATTGAAAGGGAAAAACGATCGCGAAAATGTTTTTAATATCCGAATGAAATTAATGTAGAATATTAATTTCCTAGATATAAATTAATGAGAAAAAAAAGTACAGAAGAAAATACAATTGAGGACAGAATGCGCGAATGTAGATAAAATAAATACGGAGGCGATAAATTAGATAATGTGCGAAAGCGAGTGATGATAAAATTGATTTGCACGCAGCTTACACGGAGAAGCGTAAAATCATCCCTGGCATTTACATGCATTTGCATTTAAAAGATGTGTCTCTACGAGAGAGACGACCTTTCGTTATTCGTCGTATAGACTCGCGCATTCGCTGTCAACGCGATCAGGATCAGATAACTGCATCTGACATCACCTACTATGGAAAAATTTGCTCGCCGTTTTCCCCTCCCCCTCCTCCTCCGCCCTTATATCCTCATCTAATTTTTTTTTTATTCACGCGAGGAGAGTACTTTATTCGATTAACGCGGAAGGAGAGGCGTATCAACAAGCCCGCACGCGAATCGTCGCGCGATCGGGTGCGATACGCGTGACTCTAAGTACCTCCCCTGCTGACGCAAATGCAATAAATATTTGAGTAGACACGCGTGTACGGGGGAGACCCCCGGCGTCGAGTCGACGAATCGTCGGTGGCATACTCGCTTCCGTGGCACCGCGTTCCTCTCCCCCCTCTCTCTCTCTCTCTCTCTCTTTTTTCGGAATTTAATGAACGTAGTATGTTGTGTCAGCTGTGTGCTTCGCTTATCATTTCGCTTATCGTTTCATTTAACACTCGACTCGTATTTTTTATTTCTTTGAAAGAATTGCGATACACACACGTGTCAGAATTATCAATATATTATTTTTAAATACCGCGTGTATTTTCTTAAAATATATAAGTCGGACTACGGTTTCTGGAATGCGCGCGAGTAATCCGCGAAGTGTGTGTGTGTGTATGTACACGTACATAAGAAGCGCCGCCAATGAAAGGCTGATGCTTCACGCGGCATTAAATGTTAATTAATCGACGGGATTAGTCAGAGCTATTACGCACGACATGAAAGTTCTGCGTATATCGAGGACGGATGGGGCCTAAGCAACGTCCGCTAAATTAACGAGGTATCCAACGTTTGTCATTAACGTCGCCGATATACGCAGCTACTTCCTCTTCTTCGTCGTCGTCATCGTCGTGCGGTATCGCACACCTCGTCATGAAGCGCGCATTCATCGAGCGTGAAACGCAACGAGGATTTGAAGATATACATACGTGACTCTGCGAAAGGTCCGCGATAATGTAACGCAATCGCGCGATTTAGGTAGCTACCGGCGCGGCGGGAGAGGGGAATTCAATCGTGGCGATTAAGCGGAATCGATTGTTACAACAATCGGGTCGTCTTACTTATCCATACACGCGAAATTGCGTTAGTTTGATCGTCGACTCGCGAATATGCACAATCGGCATATTTATACTCTTCCGCGGCGTTATTTATCGTAAATTCCGCCGAAATGCCCGAAGTCGCCGCGTTAAAATTTCGTGCGTTCAGTATGATTTCATACAGCTATAAAATCAAAGACTTTTCAATTCCGTTTTGCCTCACCTTCGCTCTTTTTTTTTAACTACCTTCTTACAATTAGACGTATCATTAACAATTCACTGGAAAGCTAACAATTTTTCTGATAAATTTACTTTATCGGTAGCTCAGTGAGTAATGCACTGCGACCTCGAAACTAAACAACGAAAATTTTCCTTTTCTTTCCCCTCGCGTACGTCGGTATCTTATCGAGCTCAGGGCCGCAAGCAAGTAATCGTGTTGCGATTTCCATCCAGACGACCGAGCCGCATCGTGTCGAATTAACGTCGCGCCAGAAACCCTTCAAATTGGATTTTAAGTCTCGTTGAAATAAGGACGGACATTTAAGAGACTTGAAACGAGAGATTTCGAGCTAATGAGTTTTCGATGCTTCTCGCCGCAGCCATGATAATTTCATCATTCTCTGCAATAACAACATAATTGCAATGTCAACCGAATTGCGAATGGGTTAAATGTCGTGATAATATTATCGTTTATGCGAATTTTACGCAGTTGAATGATGCATTCAATTGAGAACCAGAAACCAAAAATTACGGCTAATATAGTAATTTTTGCTTCTGATTCCCAAGACTCAAAAATTCTCAGTATCAGTAGATCGTCATTCCTTTTAGTGCATTCTCTTTTTCTTTCGTGTCGATTCGTTTTGAGCGACTCGTATTTAAAATGAAGAACAAGATAAGTGATTTCAGCTCTTCGCTCGCGGAGCGAGGTGTTTAACTCCTCTATTATCAAAGTGGAGCATCAAATTACCATAAATTAACTAGTACAAATTAATTAAGAGATTAACCAATTTTGTATGAAATATATACCTCTGCGTCGTATCAGATCAGATTATCACGAGCGCGGCGACCACACATTTTAAGGCACATCTCGCGTTCGTTATCGCTTTTATCGAACGATTCTTAACCGCGGTAAATATAATAAAGAGGAGCCTTGGAGAGATTAACGTCACAGCAACGATTGCTCTTATCAGAGCCGGGCTCTCTGTGGCCTTTTTCTCGCCGTCAATTTCGACTGTTCTCTCACTTGAGAACGTAATAGTCCACCGGCGCGTCGTGGCAGTGTGTCACGTGCGTGTTCAATTCAGAGCCGGTCTTTCGATCGGTATGTGCGTACGTGCGTGCGTGCGAATACTGACCAGGTACCGGCCGGCTGATAAGAGGCCTCCTGCCTCAGTGGCGAGCGCGTCGTCGCGACGTACGGCACGCAACGTTCGCTCGGTTCCTTGAAACTCGAAGCCTAAAATAACCGCAATCTCCTGTGATTTCTGTGACGCAATCGCGTGACAGCGGGATCCTTTTCTCCGCTTAATTCGCTTAAATTTATCTCGTCAAGATTATTACCCGGCTTCGAATTCCCGGTTCCTCTTCCGTTTTCGTGAAAATTGAGTGACGTAAGAGTTGTGGTTGTGCAATTGGCTTGTTTGCAGTGTATCGTGGCATTATATATCATTATTTATCGTACGTTGCGATTATCGTCCCGTTGCGATAACAAACTGTTAATTAAACTTTAATCGAGAGTTTTAAATCTGGCTCTTCAGACAACTATCGCGAATACGCGAAGTAATGGTATCTGCCAGATATCTTTATTGAAATTACTCAATAAAAAGATCGACGTTTGAATTAAAAAATCTGAAAATGTCAACGAGATAAAAAGAGTTGGAGTTGTCGGCACAAACGTTGGTTAAGATTAATCGTGCGGTTCGTCAACAGGTTTTCGTCCTTGTATACGTACTTTTGCATAATAATACATTAAAACGTCACTTACAGTCCTGTTTTTATTTAGCATTTTGTTTAATAGTGCATTTAATTCGAAATTAATTTCCGTATCAGAGAAAATCACTCGAGAAATTTTATGGAAGCACTTGTTGACACGCTCGCTTTACATTAATGTGCTTTAATATCGATTGTGTTGTTTAACGATATTTGTGCTAATCAATATTGAATTACTATTGATATCCTGAATTTGTATTGACGCTGATCGCGGTATAACCATTTTAGCCATGATATCATTCAATTATCACAATTATATTCATTTACGCGATACAAGTCATTTATTCGCGAAATGTAATTAATTTTAGGAGCCGGCGATCAATTAACAAATGTAGACGCGAGATACATTTTAACGTTCGGATGGGAGCCGTGATTTGATTAAAGTGCACGGGCCGGACTGGGAATCCCGAAAGCGCGAGAGAAAACGCTATTTATTACATTTTCGATATTTTCGCAGATGAAAATGTAGACTGAAGGCTTTTATGTCGATTAATTTTCCACGCCGCCTGGGCTTTCGGTATATCGAGAAATCGCGCAAGTTTGCTCCGCAAGTGTAGTTAAGCGCCGGCGGTCGAGCGCGGTCGTACGCTGATTAATCGAGAGATGATCGCGCACGATCGCGGAACGATTCACCAAGCTCGCGGCGATCGTGCGGTGTCCGTCGGTGAGCGTCGAGAGTGAAGTGCTTGCGTTAATCGGGAGGTGGTGGGTCCGCGAAGAATATCCTAAAAAATAGGCGGCGCGGTTCTGCTTGAGATGGACTCGGTGGCGGTGACGGTGCCGCTTCGTCAGCCGACGAAGAAGATGAAGAAGCGGAAGGAGCTCGACGCCCTGGCACCGGCCCACGCTATCTCCCGCCGGAGTTCCGGGAAACGCAGCTCGCAGGTGATTAAGACAATTAATTTCGTCGCCCGTCGGCTTCTTACCTGAACGGAAAAATAAACGGTCGAGACGGCGGTGAAAGATAAATGATGGATGAAGTAACGTGTAGATAACGAAAGCTACGGCACCGGCGAATTCTACCGAAGACAAATTATCCTCTCGAATCCATTTGTGTCAATGTTTGCATTGTTTTCTGAAAAAATGAAATAAAAGAGTGAGTCATAACGTGAATAGCAGCAGACTCGATTGGAAAAAAATTACCCGCTAATGTGCCTGACAAAGACAAAACAGAATTATGTCAAGAAGGCAGATAAGAAATGATGTATGAGTTTATAAGAAGAAATTATGATGGATATAAATGAGAATAGCGTCGTTATTTTTTTCAATGCTGATTAATGGCGAGTGCATTGCTATACATTTGTCTTTCTCTTACATTTTTTTCTTTGTAGGAACTGTTGACGGACAGCAGCGACGATCGTTCGGAATACTGGAATGTCTCCACCAGAAACGGACGGAAGTGCAGGGGCAGGAGGGGACGCGCTTGTCCCGGATTCCTCAAGGCTTGTAACGCCTTTTTGGCGTGTGCCTCCGTATTAGCCACCGCCAGTCTGATATGGCTGTTCATCGACGTCCGTCAACAGCTTACCGCTCTGCGAACCGAGTTAGACCAAGGTATTTTGGTCTAACGTCTGTGACGTCTGTGAAAGTCCGACATTGAGCGATTAAATCAAGTCGATAATTGGAGAAGGAAGTTATTTGTACCTGACTCGGAAAATGCGGACTAATAAACTCAAATTTCGTTATTTCACACGATATGTTTAAATTGTTTTTAGATTTAAATGTTTTACATTTAAATGTCCAATGGACGAAAAAAATGTTTTACATTTGCATGTCTAATGAACGAAAAAAATGTTTTACATTTAAATATCTAATGAACTAAAAGAAAATGTTTTTACATTTAAATATCTAACGAACGGAAGAAAAATGATTTCTATAAATATTTTTAATTAGAACCTTTCAGAACTTAGGACATAGTATCGCGCGAATATGTTTTTTTTTGTTTTTTAATATCTTGTACTTAATCTCCTGCACATTATAGTGATAGCGGGCAGCGAGGGTGTCCCGGACGCTCTGCAGAAATGCCACTCGTTATCGAGAGATCTCCAGAACAACCAAACGATAATTTTCTCCAGGCTGTCCGATCTCAAGCAGCAGATAAATAATTTTACGGTACAGGTAAAACCGCACAAGTAACATACGATAATTCGATTTGCGACCGGTTGACTGACCGGCATGACTCACACACACCCCTTCCGGATCGATACTTTTCGCAGCTGGCGCATATTCAGCAGGACTTGCATAAGGTACAGGAGTACTTTCAGGCCGCGCCCGAGATGGCCAATTTGCCGAAACGCTTGGACGAGCTGTCAACCAGCGTTGCGACATTTGGCAGTCAAATAAGGGATCTCGGGGCCACGGTGAATACCCTGAAGGAGACGAACTTGAGGGTACAGGTAGCACAGACCACTATGCAACAAAACATCAGCAGTATTAAGGTGAATACGAATATCGATATTGGCATAGGGGGCTGAAAAATAATTAATTTGCTCAACGTTCATCGCTGTGTTTTTTTTCTCTCTTTTTGCAGCACACTGTGCTGGAATTGTCGAATATTACTCAAAAGCCTCAAATACTGAGCACCGACGAGACGCAAGTTAAGACTGACAAACTAAACCTCACGCTGTCGCATTTAATGAATAATTTAACGCATGTTAATGAGACCTTGTCGAGCAAATTGCAGTGGGTCGCCGATGATCAGGACAAGGATCGCGTAAGTATGGTGTACCATGTAGATTTTATAATAAATACATTTGGAGTTATCAGACAGTTACATCTCGTGTTTTTTTTTATTTTTGTTAGAGAAAGTTGGTTTCGCTTCAAGAGGCAACAGCGGCCATTAACACGACGATGATGTCTTTGCAAGGGGAGTGCGTTAAAATGTCCGAGCAGGCTTCCGTTCTAGCATCGATTCGGCAACTAAACGAGAAGGTGCGTGCCAAACACACGCAGGCTCCGTTCGATATCGTCATCGATTCGCTAATCGTCATATTCATCATATTTCTAATGACAGATGACGGAGATACGCACAACCGACGTGGAACTGATCGGCAAGCTCAAGCAATTGGAACAATCGTACAGCGGACTGAAGAACTCCAGCAGCATCATGTTCGCGACTGTGGCCGAGATGCAGAATCAGCAGCAGGTCACTAAGCTCAAGCTACCGGAACCGTTAAGCGGCGACGTGACGACGGAGACGGATCGCGGTGCGACAGGTGCGGTAGAGTCACACGTAAGATTTTCACCCTCGTGAATATTGTAGAATTTCCACTCGCAGGTTCGTAACCGTGTCACGTTTCACGTATTTGCAGATGTAGGCGACATTGCTCAGAGAAAGAACGACCGAATGTGGCGAAAGCGATTTCAGCGAGGAGCAAACGAACCCGCGGAAGGAACTCGCGCTTGAGAAGAGACTTTCACGAGTGGCTGAAAGTCGCGATCCGAGAAGCTGTGCATTTGTAAATACTAATAAATTAAGTACACGTTACGCATGTACATAGGAAGATACTATTTATGACGTCGCCATCCGCGTCCGCGGTGGACGCCAGTGATCCACCGCGGAACTGACGTGCGATTCGCGCTGAGAGGCGACTTACCGCGAGCGTGCCGTGTACGGCCTGAAGGAAAAGCTACTTACGCCGAGCAATAAACTTAAAAAAAAAAGCGATATAAAGTAAATTGTTAGCGAAACGAACGTTTCTGTATTCGACCTAGATTAGACTCGTCAATTTCCTAATAACACTAAACGCGCGCGCCATAGCGAGAAGGATATTTCAGAAATATACTTATGGAAAGTACAAAAACAAAAAAAAACTCGACAGCCGTCTGGAGAACGCATTCTCGGTTGTACAACCGTCTTTAGGAGAACGTTTATATTTAAGTAACCTGGCAGCGTATATCGAAGAAGTTTTGTACTCTTCTACATTTTTGTAGCGTGACGACACGCTATTGTACATTTCTCCGGGGTTTCTCCGACGAGAATGAAAACAATAGAGTTCTTTAGCTCGCAGGGAAAACCAGTGTATACATACACGTGATTTCAGGATGTAATATGTAAATACAAACACCACAATATATTAATTTAACGAATAACAGTGTGATAAAAATGCTAGAGAGGCATATACCGCACATTCTAATTGCAGAGTTAATCGAGTTTGGTTTGCGCGATTCTCGACAAACCGAGACACCGGCGGGTGTCTATACGTTTATGACTTTTAGTTTAGCAAACACCGTGCAGTCGAATGTACAGTTAAATATGTGATGGTTAAAGACGGTTAGATCTTTCTGCGGCAACAACAAAAAAATAACTTTCACCGGTTGCGGATAGTGTATTGTAGTAGCTTGATCAAATTTTTTTAAGACAAAGAACGAGCGTTATTTTTGTATGCATCGACGGGTGACGTTTGCGAGAAGGGAAGACAAACCGAAGTAGCGAGCTTAACCGAAAGGCTCGCCGCGTCTCGGCTCTTATGGTACACGCGAAATGAATTGTTTTTCATCGAAAACCCTTACGTAAGACTGTAGGCAGCGAGTGTAGTACAGCGAGAATTAGGCGGTATTCGCATGTAATTATTTCGCATGTACGGTATGAAGTAGAAAAATCTAGAGCGTGTCCCGACATTCGCGGCGAATACAGCGAGATGAACGAAGACCAATCTTTTGAAATATAGTCTTGGCTATGTGCACTCCGTTTGTGTGAGAAACTTAGGAAGATAATTACGTGCGAGTACGCGATATAAATCGGCTACAACAATACCGAAGTGAATTAATAAAAAGAGGAAGGAAGCTATTTGGCGAAATTAACATTATTTCTTGACATGTCCTCAGCACTGTCGAGCACGCGCGTCTGGCAATCGTTTATCGCTTAACGGAACTCCGAAATGACGAGTCGAGCGCGAGGAGGCCGATTAGAATTTACACAAATTTATTTAACAAATTTTCAAAGTTCGCGGAGTTCCCGTATTCTTGCGTTCCATCAATTTTTGCACCTCTTTAAAAGCGACGCGCCGTCGATTTGGTCGTCAAACGACAGATCGCGATAATTTTCTTTTTGTCCAAGGGAACAACGCGAGGACTCTCTCCCCTTCGCCGATTCGCGTCCGTTTTTCCAAGAAGCGCAGCTTCTTCCCCGACGCCCTCGTGGCTCGCATCTTTGTATACGTGCCCCGCTCGCGTGCCGCCTGAGCCTCGCGCGATTGGTCGGGCCTCGTAATTCTGTACGGTGTGCATCTGGCGCGGCGGCAGATGCGGCGCGTCCCCATAGTGCAAGCCTCTCGTGTCGCGCGCGGACGGATTCGATCGCGTGTAATATCGCCGTGATTGACGTGCGGGGGTCCACCGGACTGGCATTCGACGAAAAATTCAGCGGCCGTTCGCCCGGACTGACACGCGAGCGCTTATATACGAGTAAGTACGAGATTACCATTCAGCTGACGCGCCGCGTTGATATTACGCATTTTATCGGCAGCGCGCAATGTTATTCGGTGCCTGGCTGGACACGCGAGCGTGTCCGACTTCTCTTCCTCGTTGATTTTAATCCTGTTACGCACGTCGCTCGTATAACGTCCCGTAATTTTATTGCAACGCCAAATTTGTACGCGTCGAAATGGTTAAAGTCATGAGTGGAAGACACTCCGACGCGCATTCTGGAGCTGACCGCGGGCCGTTTCGGGGCGATAAATCGAGCCCGATTAATCGCGCGCGTCTCACGCGGCCAGGCGTCCAAGCGCTTTGTTCCGACCGAACTACGCATTACTATTGTACGGGTAGCTCGAGCTCGAAGGTCACGTCGTCGCGACGCGATAAAAGGAGGATGTGAAATAACTGCGCCGTTCAACGGCAGAATTTGGTCGGAATCCGCCGGAGTGATTGCTCCCCTTTTCACATTTCTTATCGCGTCTCTCGGGACTGACGTAGTACGTCGCGAAATGAGTCACGCGTCACGATCAGCGCGTTTTTATCATTCGCGCGAGTGTATATCGCCGCGATGAAGATCAAGCGCGAGGACAAGGTGAATCGACGAGACGAAATAATGTTACTGGACGGGGGGGGATTATCTCGCGGTCGCGGAAAGTTATACGCGGCGCGTTTTCGAACGACGTAAACAAAGCGTTCCCTCGAGCACTGACCCCGCCGCGATCGCGCGGCGCGCTTCCGATAGCCCCCCGAGAGCGATCGATCGGATCTCCGCAGTTTTATTATTATACACACGCGATATTACCTTAATTCGCTAATTCTAAAACAGATCGCTGCTACCATCGAATTGTCCCGCATTTTGCACGTGTGCGCACACATGCGTTGCGTCGCTCCTCCAACAATTCCTTGGTTTATCTCCGTTTCCTGTCCGCGGAGATCGCTCCTATTCAGGTTGGAGTGAGGGGAGGGAGGAAGGGTTGCTTGCAGCCTGTGTTTACCTCGCCTCACGCGTTCCTCACGCTTTCGAAAATCATTCTCTTTGCTTTCCGAAGCGTGAACCGAGGAATTAATCGGTAATTAATTATCGAACTGCAAATACGTTAAATATATTTGTTTTAATTTCATAATAAATAAGTAGATACATTTCTAATTATTATTTTACATATACACGCGTGTATGTTATATATTATATTTATTTATTTATTTCACGTTTTGTGTCTCTGACTTGCTGGAATTTTTCGAAATAAAGAGTTTTCCATTCTGGAGGTCCTCCCCCCCTCCCCTCGCTCGCTGCGCTCGCTGGCCCGTTTAAAATCCCGGCTTTAAATCCCACGGCACGCATAAACAAAGCGACGTAGCGTGTTCTCGATCACTGACCCCCGCCAACGTGCGACGCACGTATACATACGTATACACACACCCCGCTTCCGCCAGTCCCAGTCCACGCCGCTCCCGTGCTGGCCGTGCTCTCCGTTCGCCTCGCTCGCTCGCGATCGATCGATCCCCGGCCGCGGATTCGCCGTCGGTTTCCGTCCGTTCCGCCCCTCGTCCCGCGACCACGCTCGCGCGTTCCTGTTGCATGCGCGATTATCGAATACCCGCATCCCACACTCCGCCCCGCCGCACCTCGTCACGTGCGCGCGCGCGCGCTGCGCGGCGCAGCTGTCGCTCGATCGATCGATCGACGTCCCCGTGTAGCTCGCCTAGAGAATCGATTGAACGAACCTCAGGATTCTCGATCGCGGCGAACTTTGCGCGACATAACCTTGTTTCGGAAGTATCTGTCCCCCACGTAAATTATGCGATCGCGTAGAACGTATGTATGAAAGGGCCACGGCTGGGAAGTGTACGGAAGAGAGACGGCCGAGAGGTCGTCGCGACGTCTTTGGGACCTGCCGCTCGCTAAGTTGACATTAATTTCGTGAACGCCAACATACGTATACACATACGTCCACCTGTGCCGAGTGTTTCGAGGTTACGCGCACTTATGTCAGGGTTGCTCCAAAAATTGTTAGCTTCCGGCGCGGCACGGTCAGCATCCGGCTCGGCACGCTAGAGTTCCGGGCGCCGCGAGTGCGCCCCCCCCCCGCACCCCCGAGAGGGTGAGGAAAAAAAAGGGCCGACGGGGAAGAGAGAAAGAGAGGCGGAGGACCGCGAAGAGGAGCACACCAGTGCGCGCGTTGCATTACGTCAGGTCAGGGCGAGTGACGGCAGGCGAGGTAGCGAGCGAGTGTGCGAGAGAGAGAGAGAGAGAGAGAGAGAGAGAGAGAGAGCGCGTGCGAGAGGGTGGGAGAGGTGGAGGAACGGCGTCTCTTTACATCTGCGCATTTCTCGCGTTCGCTCAGGGGAAAACTCCAAAACAAGCAACATGGCGGACCCGAGCAACGAGCCCGCATCGTCGAGCGGCGTCGCGGAGCAGGTAGCCGCGACGGCGGCCACCACCGCCGTCGCGGCACAGTTGCGCGAGGAACACGACAAGCCCGAGGACTTCCACGAGCCCGACAAGAAGCGGCGCAGGACGGCGCGCGCCGAGGACGCCGCGAAAACCGAGCAGAAGCTGGAGCACCGTCTGGGCGGCATCCTCTGCTGCGCAGTATGCCTCGATCTGCCTCGCGCGGCCGTCTATCAGGTAGGTCGTCGGCCCCCCCTTCTCCGCCACCTCCTTCTCCTACTCCACCTCCTCCGCGGGAGGTCCAGGCGGGTAGACGGGCAAGCTAACGTGGTCGTTATCGGGAAGATAAATATTAAAAAAAAAAAGGGAAAAAAAATGAAACTGCCCGTCCTCAAATTTCACGACGTCCGCGAGTCGAGACGCGCGGCGGACAGTCGCAGCGTGCGATACCACCTTTCCCCGCTCCCCTCCCCCCCGCTCTCCTACGTCCCGCGACGTCCCACTCGCGTGGCAGTCCATCGACCCGTTCGTCGGTCGATTTTTTTTAGAGCGACGGTGCGTAGACGAGACGATCGCGCGACGGTCCGCGAGGCCTCGTTTTTTCTTTCTCTGCCCAAAGACGAGTATGAGTCCAGGTCCGTTTGTCGTGTGGATACGTCCCGCGAGGTAGGCCTCGCCAGGCGCGAGTGTGACTGCCGTATACCTCAGGAAGGCTGTCATTCACATCGCGTCGAGAGAATTGTGGCGGCCGAGGTCGATTAAAAGCTGCAGAATATCTCGCGTAGAATCGAGTACGAGCCACGCTTTTAATTCTGACGAGAGAAAGTTTGCACGCCAGGCAAACGGGGAACCTTCTACCTTGCTGTTCACAGCTGACACTGCGTCTCGTCTCCTCCTTCAACTTTATCCCTCTGCTGAAAATTCTTTCTCTCTCTCTCTCTGTCTCTCCGTTTCCATCTTTTGCTTTTCCTTATTTTTTTTTTTCGCTGTGACAAGTCGCAGACGCCTGCGATCTGGGTAAAGAACTACCGAATCGTCCTTGTTGTCGAATAGTTGCATTTTTTTTTCTATTTCGTTACCGGCAGCCAAATATGATGTGACATGGATCTTGGTATTAAGCTGGCCCTCTTCCCTTGTGTTTGTCGTTTCTAATAATGTCCCTAATAATGTCAATAATATTAAAATACGCCGAAAACTCGGAAGTACATGGTAGTAGTATATCCGTACAGGTCCCCAGGTTTTTCATAAACTGAGCTTTATACACAGGTCGAATAATGAGTTTGTCTATTGAGACAAGACACGATATGTTAAGTTTTCTCGCAGGTAGGTGACTTTATATTTTTTTCTTTACATTAGAGAAAGTGACATGCCGCTGATACATCCTGTCAGTGAATCGCTGCGTGGTAGACTTGTGTGATATTAGATATACAGAAGCAGAGTCTTTTTTTTGCAATATTCACAGATTGATTTGCCGATATTAAAGCTGTAAGATGTGCAATATACCTTTGCTTTGAGAGATAAAAAAAAACGTTCGATTTATTTAAGCGAGAAACTTTTCTGGTATAAACTGACGCTATATAAGAAGTTGCAAGAATATTTTCTACATGTGCGCATCTACTATATATTTTCATAATTACTTATATTGGTTCCTCTCATTATAACTGTGCCTGCATTATAACGCGGTGTGTTCATAATTAATTTCAACCGCTCTCTCTCTCTGGAGAAGCATATAGGGTTAATACCTCGGAATCCCCTAAACACACAGGTACCTCAGAGAAAATGTGAAGCAGCACTCTCGACACTCGTTGTGTGTATGCATGCAGCTACTCGTTTAGACCTCTCCGTTGAGTGTCAAGAGGAGTACACAGTGAATTGTTAATTGTAGATATTCCCCAGTGTCCGTCAATCCCGTCAATTAATTTTTTCTTTTTCATCTCGATACAGACTTTCTTTAGACTACCGACGCGCGAAGATACACGGCG